TCCTTCCTTGAAGGCATTCCGGCAGATCCCTCCCCTTCCAGTCCCCCCCGTCAGCCGTACATATCCTGATTTATAGACCTTTCTTCTCTCCGATAAAATAGGCGTGGTCTTTCCGCTAAGGGCCAAATGTTATCACCTTTATCACAAGGGTGGTGGGGGGGCCACGGAAATAAGGGGCTAATCGGGAGAACGTATAGGGGAGCCAATCACAGTAAAGGCAGAGTAATTAGTGTGATTAGGGCACTAAGCAGAATAAGCAGAGTAATCAGTGTAATTAGGGCACTATGCAAACTAAGCAAAGGTAATCAGTGTAATCAGGGCACTAAGTAGACTAAGCCGAGGTGATCAATGGCCTTAGGAGACTAATCACGGCTTAGCATAAGGACTATATATACGGAGGAACTAGCTAATATAAATAAATAGTTCCGTAGTATATAATTTAAGCTTGTATTTATAGTATTTTATGTTTATATTGAGATATTTTATTATATACTATTTAATTACACCGAATTAACTATTAGAAATTATTTTTAATCCGTATCCTTTTTAGAGGTTTTGTCAAAGGCTTGTCACACGGCATAGTACTACCACACAATGATCACGATCTCAACTAAAAGCAGCAGCAGATTGCCCGTCCTCGACCGCCCCCCCTCGATAAAACACTCCAGATTATACCCCCCCTGCAACAAGACATCAATATACGCCTGCACCAGCGTCGTATAAAGCTGATCATCCCCAAAGCTCCTCCTGATATACATGGCCCCCGCATGCTGCAAGAAGCTGCCCACCAGGGGAAAGTTCAGATTATCCCCCGCCACCACCACCGGCAGCGCCAGCCCCAGCCGATAACACAGCAACTGCTGCGCAACATAATCCACATGCGACCTGTGACACGGCAGGAAAATAATACTCTGTTTCTTCTTCTCCGCCTCCTCGGCCACATTCCTCAGCCTCAACACCTCCTCGCTAGAGACGTGGATGCCCTGGTGGTAAGCCCTCAGCAACAACTGCGTGACGAGGTAGTACGCCCCGCGGATGAAAGTCTTGCTCTCAAACTTGCAAATCATGTTATCCGTCAGGTGTTCGGCGACTTCTTGTAAGCCCTGGACCAACTCGGCGCGTCTCTTGGCTTTTCTGATCTCGTATTCCCTGCCTGAACTTGGGGGTGGGAGGAGGCCTTGTTTTTCCTCTACCGAAATGCGCAGGTCGGCGAGCTGGGCGATTTTGGTTTGGAGGACGGTGGCGGACATGACTTGGGTTTTGATGTGCTCGGAGAAGCCGTTGTAGAAGATTGGCTGGCCGATCACGTCGTCGTAGGCGCGCCAGCCTGTTCCGGACACGTAAAGGGAGACATCGCGGAGGAAGCTGGACCAGGAGGGGTCAGTACTTGGGGAGGGGAGGAAGGAGATTGCCGAGGGGGATGGGGTGGGGAGGTCGGACATGGTTGGTTGGTGATGATGGCCGTGGTGAAGAGGGAGAAGAAGGGGGAAGAGGGAAAAGGGAAAGACAAGGCGTACCGTAACGGCTCGGAGCGGAAGCGGGCTACGTTCTTCATCAACGCCTCGTCTTTTTCATCTTTGTCTTTGGGGGGCTCGACGAATCCACTTGGTTGAAGTGTAATTCTGTCGCCGAGGATGCGCAGGTCTGGGGCCGAGTCGTGGCGGTCGCGGTCGTCGGGGGCCATTTTCGGTGAGAGTATCGGTGTTCTAGGAGAAAGTCGTCTTTCGCGCGCTTGTGGTTGGTGTATGGGAGGTGTAAGTGACGTTCTTGAAGGAGGGATGTTCGAATCGCGGGACAGCGGGACACAAGACTATCTCTCTAGAACTATCTTTCACACGGAAACGCTTTTCCTTGTTGTCAAAACAGAGAAATTGGGTTTCGATTCGGACTGAGAGAAGAGACGGCGCAAAAGATTAAGATGTTCAAGAGAGGTGGATCAGCTTAGATATGACTTCATCCACCGTCACTTGTCAACAGCAACAACAGAAGCACGTGAAGAAAGCCAGCAAAAACAAGAGATTCACGGGGACGACAGACACTTTCCAGGTTGGAATATGCCGTTGCTTCCCGAGGCAGGGCACATGTGGCACAGTGGCACACACACTAGAGTGCCCAAAGCCTGGCCTGGAGCTCGGAAGGGAGCCCGGCAGGGGATCCAGGCTCAAGGTGCTTTAGCGGGGACGCCACTTGTTTCCCCGGTGGGGAGGGAGGGGAAGGTAAAGTTGGGGAAGAGGGGCCGAAGCAGCGAATAAGCGAGCTGTGATTGGCTCACATGCTAAATTCTCAAGCACCCAAGCTTTTTGGCGTGAACTGCCCGAGCTGCCCCAATTGGAGCTCCACGCAAAAAAAAAGTCATCCACTGTCACAATCGCATTCTCCAACCCAAGAATTGCAATTGCATCACCATCCATCCACTGCGACACATACATCCAGTCGCATCACTATGATAGTCCCAACGAAAAAGGACCACCAGTCCATAGCAGCCGACCTCCTCAACCGCGCCTTCGAGCCAGAAGAAGCAACCAAGATCCTCACCGAGAAAGTCATCCAGCGACCCCTCTTCCTCTGCCCGACCTCCCCCCCTCCGGCCGATGCCCGTCGCGCCCGAAATCTCGCGGCGAAAAGAGCGAAAGAACAGCGCCGAGCAAAGGCACTCAAACCCAAGCCCATCTCAGCCACCCAGCGAAAAAAGCAAGGCCTCTACCGAATCCCAAAACAAGGACAGAAATACGCCCTCTTCGAACCGCTACATAACCTATGGCTAGGCTACATTCGAGAAATCCTCGGAAGCGAAGTCTACACCGGAGGAGAAGCCGCCGCTGCTAAGCTCGCCAGCGCTGACTTCCACGGCGCCGGGGTCGAGGTGGTGAGAAGTGGGTGCGTCAGTCGGGTTGGCATCAAGGGGATTGTGGTCAAGGACGGGAAGTTTGCGTTTGAGATGATAACGGTGAAGAACAAGGTCAAGGTGGTGCCGAAGGAGGGGACGATTTTTCGAGTCGAGGTGCCGGTGCCGGTGATTACCAAGACGGGAGAAGAAGAGAAAAAGGAGTCGAGAATGGTGTTTGAGCTTCATGGGGATCAGTTCCAGTTTCGATCGGCGGATAGGGCGACGAGGAAGTTTAGGGCGCACTTTTCAAAGACGCTTTAGGTTTTGGGAGATGACTGTGATCGTGTGGGTTAAACTCGATTACATTCTGGCTATGAATGGCCTCGCGTTCTAAAGGCCTGCTAGGAGATGTAGCTATATATCCCAGCCTCTAGTACTAAAGGTGTGTCGCTCCTTTCATTCATCTCAAGCCGTTATAAACCTACACATCAACTACAGTCAAGGAGACGATAAGACGCTGCCACCGCACACAGTTATCTCTCACATGGTCTGCGGTCGGCCAGATGGGCTCAGCAAGAGGGAGGGTGGAGAGGCATGGTTTTTAACAAGAAACCAGGCCACGCTGTCTACCTAGTCGAGACTGAGGAGCAGATGCATAATGTTTCGCGACCACAACAGTTTCGACACCCAGCAGTAGCAGTCAGGGGAAAGCAAAGACCATCTTGGTAAAGCTTCCTTCACCACGACCAGGCACATCAACCCGCCAGCAAGCAAGCGAGGATGGCGATGGTGAATGGCGAAAGCTGGTCGACAAGAACGGTCCAGTCTCATCCGCGCTGTGGCGCTCTTCGATCCGACTGCGCCGCGTTGTACAAGACCGACAAAGCACTGGGGTTTGACACAGCAAGATGTGCTGTGGCGTTGAAAATAAAGCTTGGGTCGCGGGTAGGGTCACCGACGGTCGAGGCCCCGGCAATGGGGGGAGGATCATGGATTGGATTGATGGGTTTGGAGACATTTTGCGAGTTTGATGTGCGAGAGAATTTATACGCGCCTCCTGGTTGTTTGGGGAGGCAGAATGGGGAGGATGAGTATAGGTGGGTATATCTAGACTGCCCACCGCCGGCGTTTGGGGGGGGGGGTCTGATTTTACTTTGGTTCACTCACTCAACACGCGCTCATTTTCTCATTCTCTCGCAGTCGGTTATCAACTCCAACTCGCAGCTGGTCTGCCATTCTATCGTTTTTTTTCTTCTTTTTGTTTTTCGATTCCGCTCTTTCGCCGGTTATTCACTTGATACTTACCATCTATCCGCCAAAATGAAGTTCTCCCCAACCCTCCTCTTTCTGTCAGCGACCTCCCCCCTCGCATTGGCTATCGCCTCCCATCAAGACAACCCCGCCGTCCCTGCCCCCTCTGGCTCTGGTACTCCTGTCCTGCGTCGCTCTGACGCGGGTGACACGGCAGTCAACGCCCGCCAGCGTCGCGCTATGCTTCGAATGCGGCAACCGGGGACGGCTGATGATGAGGCTGTCGCTTACACGACTGAGGCAGCAGCGCCTGCCAGTACTACCGAACCCCCAGCTGAGGAGGATGTGACCGAAGAGGAAGAATGTGTAGATGTTGAAGTCCCGGATCTTGCGAACGGCACGCTGCCTCTCAATGGGACAGAAGGAGGGAACGGGACGGCGAACGGGACGACGTTGTCAGAGCAGGAGTTGAAGGTCAAGAGGATGGTCAAGGTCAAGCTGCCGGATTATAGACGGGATGGGGAGGGGGTCAAGGAGAGGGATGCTGAGGCTGAGCTGGGGGTAAGTTATCACCTGGTAGACGAATGAAGATCGAGAGCTGACGAGATGAAATAGTTGACTGCTTCGATTGCCAAGCTGCTGAGGTGGTAGATACTCTACGACCCGGTTTTGGGGTCGTGATTGTACGATAGGGACGACAGCATGTCTGGATATCGGCATACAGGACGGTGGCACTGAAGGATGTAATATGGTTGCATGGAAAGGAGTTTTGCACATGGATTTGTCCTCACCTAGACCCGTAAAAAGCAACGCTGGTCGTGACCAAAAAGAAAAAAAACAGAAAAGAAAAAGAAAGAAAAAAGAAACAAGAGAGAAAAAGGAAAAAAAAGAGAAAAAAAAGAGAAAAAAAAGAAAGAAAAAAGAAAAAGAACCAAAAGCCTAGAAATCGTACATCTATCTCCATCTCTATCGTGAAAATGTCTCGCTTCGCTGTCTATACCCCCCCCCCCCCCCTCCCGCTGTAAGCTCCCAACTCCCTACTCCAACATGTGTGTCAAAAGACAAAAAATGATGCCCACCCTATATTTTCTTCTCTGCCTTATTCCTCCTTCCCCCCCTCGGGCTCCAAAATAATATTATCAATCAACCTCACCGCCGGCCCCCCACTGTGCCCCAAATCCTCCCCCTCCCTCGCCTTCTCAACAGGCAACATCTTGATCGCCCCACTCAAAATCCCCCCCCTCGCCGGATCAACCTCCTCAATCTCCTCCATAGTATCTGGATCCGCCAGCGAGATGTAATCAACCTCAAACCTCACCCTCTCCTCCACCCCCTTCCCCTCCTCCTCCCTCTTCACCCCCTCCACCACCCCCTCCGCAGCCCTCAAAATCCCCCCCCTCTTCCTCACCCCCCTTTTATACTCGCCCTCCGCCGCTTTCAACGCCCGATAGAGCACCGTCGCCTTTTGTCTCCTCCTCTCCCCAAGATAAACATTCCTCGAACTCAACGCCAACCCATCCTTTTCATCCCGTTCCGTCCTCCCAACCACAACCTCGATCGGCATCATAAAATCCCTCACCAACCTTTTTATGACGACCGTCTGCTGCACATCCTTCTGCCCGAAATAAACCCTCTCCGGCTGCACAACATTGAACAGCTTCATGCACACCGTCGCGACCCCCCTGAAGAAAGTCGGCCTCGTCCTCCCCTCCAGCAGCTCGCCCACCGGTGTGATGGTGACAAAACTGCCCTTGCTGTCGACCTCCTGACCGGGAAATCCACCGGGGTACATCTCTTTTGTGCTCGGGGCAAACACCGCAGAGATACGGCCTAGGTTATCACCGTCGTCGGCGAGTTCCCTGTCGAGTTTCACTAGTTGAGCCACGTCGCTGTCCCAGGTCTGCGGGTACGAGTCCAAGTCTTCGGATATGCCGAACTGGGCGGGGTTGACGTAGATTGATACCACGACGTGGTGGTTTTCTCTTGCGGCTCGACGGATGAGGGAGAGGTGGCCTGAGTGGAGGGCGCCCATCGTGGGCACGAGGGCGACGGTGCGGTGGTCGAGGAGGTGGGGGCGGCGCCAGAGGCGGACGGAGGAGGTGGTGCGGAGGAGGCGGACGGGGGAGGAGGGGAGTTTTTCCAGGCCTCCTTTTGAGGAGGAGGAGGAACACGACGAGGCCATGGTGCGGGAAGTGACTTTCGGGATGAAGGTACAGGATCGGGAGACGGCGCGTGAGGTTGTCGTCGGGAAGGTCTTGGAGAAAGCGGTGGTGATGATGGCGGGGCGGAGGAGGACTGTGTGCCGGATTAGGGCGGCGGCGTTTGCTGTGTGAGGCATTGAACCGGTGAGGGTTGCGGGATTGGAAGGTGAGGGGACAGGGAAGGAAGGGAAAGAAAAAAGCGCAATCTGACCGCCATTGCGCAGCGCGATTCCGAGGCGGAGTCAACTTAAAAGAGAGGGAGGGCAATGTTCGTGATGGTTTCTGCCGCGGATTTCTGAGGACGGCGCGCGGGCGGGACATGGGATGGGTCCGCTGGAGAGGAAGGGGGTGGGCTTGGCAGGGGTAGGGTTGGGTTTTTTTTTTTTTTTTTTTTTTACAGAAAAGAGCCGTTAGTATGGGGCAACATGGCGCCTATTCTGTACAGACCCCCTGAATTCACTGCTCCAAAGTCACAAAGCAAGGCGTAGTTAGAAGATACAATAGCACATCGGCTGGATGGGAAAACAGTGATGCCAGACAGCGATACATTTAACCCTCCAACAATAACAACTATACAATGGGTATCAGCGCCTTTTCCCTTCTGTCCCAAATCTCCCCATTCAAACGCCCCAAGAATGAACCCCCCTCCTCTCCTCCCTCCCTGCCCCCTCACCCGACGAACTCCCAACCTCGCCTCCATTAGGCCTCACATACCAGTTCTGATAAGGGTGCTCCCGATCCCTAAAATCCGCCCCCTTCGACAAAGGGTTCGTCATCTTGGACGACGACCCCCCCATGGGCGGGCCCCCCGGCCCCCTCAGAAACGAATCCCCTATCCTCCCCACCCCCATCCCAACCCCCATCGTCACAGCCGGCAGCCCAGGCAGCGTCACCATCTGCCCCCCAAACGTCGCCGGCATCACATCCTTCACCTCCCACCCCTTCCTCAGCTCAGCCACCACCCCACCCAACCTCCACCCCGTCGACTTTTCAATCCTGCCCAATATCCCCAGCACCTCGTCCCTTTCCTGGGAACTATCCAACACGGCCCCCGCCACGGCCAGCCCCCTAATCGCCACGCTCCCCACCCCCTTATCCCCCACCGCACTGGTGCTCACAATCCCGCAAACCTGCCGGCTGTGGTGCTTTTGGAGCGACCTGTTCTCCTCCGTGTCCCCCTTGTGAAGCGGGTTCGTCTGCGCGAGCAAAACCATGCAGACGTGGTAGAACAGCCGTCCTATAATCGCCGGCCTGCTCATCAACCACACGTTCGGAAACGCCGAGCGGGACGACGGGCCGGTGACGTACCCCGAGGGACGCATGCTCCTCGGACAGCGGTGATTCCACGCGTCCAGCAAAGATTTCAGTCTGGTCCACTCGGCGAAGCGGCCCTGGAGCCTGACCTGCTCGTCGTGGGGGGTGGGCTCGTGATGTCGATGGTGATGACCGGGGTTGTGGAATTGGCTTGGGTGAAGGACGGGGATGGTTGGGGAGGAGGAGGCGCGGAAGTTGATCACTTTGGCGAGTATGTAGATTATTCTTTGGGCCCAGAGCTCCTCGTCCCCCGACGAGGCCTGGGCGGCCGGGCCGGAAAAGGAAGGGAGGTCGTCCCCGCGGTCGGGTTCCGAAGAGGCGATCACGCTTCCGTTGCCGGAGCTGCTTCCTACGATCCAGGTTGTGAATTCTAGGTCCATGCCCCAGTCGTCGGGCTCCCAGGAGGTGGTCCAGTTGAAGGAGAGGCACGACAAGACCTCGAGTCCGACGTTGAGCCAGAAGCAGGCTCGGGCGAGGCTGGAGGCGGAGCCGGCGCTGTAGTTGTTTTCTCGGATCAGCGCGCGGGCGCCGCGGATGTGTTCGAGGCGTTGCTGGCGCTGCTGGGCGGTGGATCGCTCGTCTGGGAGCTTGGACGGTTCTGTCTCGTTCATGATGTCGTAGACGTTAAGCACGACGGCGGTGATGCAGCATTCGTCCGTGTTGCGGTCGGGGTTTTGGAGCGACCGGAGGAGGAGGGAGGTTGAGGTGTCGTGGTAGACCCTCGCCCTGTCGCTCTCGGCGGCTCGGGAGGCCGGGGGAGACATGAGGGAGTGCTGCTTGACACCGCAGGCGAGGATGGCATTCAGGAGCATCGTCGACTTGAAGGCGAGTGATGGCACAACAGTGGAGAAGTGTTTGTCTTTGTCAAACACGTCCATCCAGACGGCCACGTCGTTGATGAAGACCTGCATGCAGTTGATCTCGTGTTCGGTGCTCAGGTAATCGCGCTCGCTCGTCGGGCTCTCGTCGCCGTTTTCGCTACAGGGCGTCATCGGGCCATCGCCATCGTTTTCTGGGTTCCGAGCATTGGATCCTTCAGGGACCAAAGAGGATGTCACGCTGGAGACATCGCTGTCTCTTCTTTGCTGTACCGGGTAGACTGGCCGGTGTTGCTGTAGCAAGTCTTCAAGCGCAAATGGGTGGTGGTGTGATTGCGGCGGCTGCGCGGGGTTTGGCACAAAAGGCTCGGTGTTCCTCACGGGCAACTGTGCCTGTACTTGACCATGGCCTCCGTTCAAATGGACCGGCTCTTGGTGGGTTGGTGGTTCGATTGCTATGGGGTAATATGGTGCACGAGATGCTTCCGGGACACTGCTCAGACCTTTTGCGGCCTCGAAAGCAGAGGGATTCCCAGACGGAAGTGCGCCGCTGCCCTGCACATCTGCCGAAGCTTTTCTAGGCCGGGTGATGGGTGGAAAGTCGTCGATGGGCGAGACACCCAGGTCCTCATCCGGAACGTCGCTGTAGGATTCTAGCCCGCCCTTATACCCGGATGCTATCTCTCGGGAATCGTCTTGGAACGTCACTATGAAGGCTCTGTCAGTCAAAGGAGGCAAACGGGTGGTGATGTTGGATCGCTATACCCAGCCAGTCTTTGCCTCGAGGAACGGTGCGAGGTGGCCCTTTGACCTGCTGATTCGTCTCTGCAAAGTTGAGCCGTACTCCTCGTTTGCACTGGCGGTTGCTCTTCAAGCAGTTGTTGCACACCGGTGCCCCCTCGTCGCACTTGACATGTCTATCGCGGCAGGTAAAGCACCCGGTCCGTACGCGGCGAGCTTTGCTGGTCTGTACAAACCTCCTGGTGGGCCTCTTGACCTGTGCGTCAGCAACAGTTGCTGTAGTGAGAGGGTTCAGGGAGCGGACTCGCTTTGGCCGAGGAGGTGAGTTGTCTGGACTGCTGGACAGGGCCTCGGGGTGTGCCGGAGGGGTCAAGGAATGGGCTTCGGGATGGTAGTGCTGGTCGTCATGATAATTGTGCTGCTGATGAATGTACAGGGTATGTAGATTGATGTTCGCCGTCATCGGGACTGCCCCTGGGACGAAGGAAGCCGTGCCGCCGTTGAAGGTCGCCAGTCTTTCCGCCGCGTCTCGACCCCGAGACGAACAAACCCGAGGTAGGTTTTTGTAGGGGGAGTCGATAGTGCTATGCGGCGATCCGTCAGGCGAACGGGGACTTGGTGTTTTGCTGAGGCTGATATGCTGATTCCCGTTACCGGGGCTTCCGCTTTCCCGGTTGGCGTTGCCGAACTCCGAGGCCACTGATCGGTGGTCCTATCGATCTTCAGCCCTGCAAATCGACGACGACGGAAGCCGTATAGTAGGTAGTGGTAGAAGGGCCGGTCGTCAAGATGGTGCAACAGTCGTCCTATGTGTGCCTGTATGTCCCTGCTTCCAACGGAGCTGACCCTAGCTGTAGATCAGTTGGAGCAAGAGTCAAGCCCTGGATGACAGTTCAAAGATGGGATGTCGTCGAGGTCGTTGACGGGAAGAAAGACAAGCCCCTTGCGCTTGCGAGTGACAGGGGGAATCTACCTGGGGCCTGGTGCGGCAACAGGTGACAGGGGTCGCCTCTAGCCTCTCTCGGGGAGGGTTACATCAAACAGGTACAAGGCGGGGGTCAACGCCTTCCAGGTCGGGGTTGACCTGGGCTTCGATGATGCCGTCGCTGCCGATTTGACGATGTGGCCGACGCGGGGGGCTGGACGGGTTGGTAGATGGTGTGCCAGTGAATGCTGAATGCTGCTTGCTTCCCAGCGGTCCCAAATTGAACCTGTAGTGGTAGATGGCGGCAGCACCCGTTCCTTTGCCATGGATGATTGGGGGGGGTTGGGGGGGGTTCAGGATGGCCCATGGGGCGTTGGACGGACAGAGACCCAGGCGATGGCTTGTGCATATGTAGGTAGGAGTACATATGTATGTAGGTAGGTGCATGTACAGGACACGCAGTCCCTTTATCGTCAACGCCATCTCTATTCATAGCTCTCCTCCTCTCCAGGCCATCGATGTTGTGCATACGCCACCAATACTCGAGATCTACATAGCAAGGTAGCTGCTCAGCTCCCGCTTGAACGTTGAAGCTGCTCTCCGATCTCTTGGGAAGAGGTCCTCGGCAGGCATCTCGCTTCCTCGGACTCTCTCTCTGTTCTCTCAAACCCAACAAACCCCAACGATGGAGTAAGGATCCAGCGTCAAGATTGGAAACTGGTGACAGGGAACCGGAAGCGGGGTCATGTCGCGCTTAGGCTCCCGGTCCCCGCCCACCGGTTCTTTGTCAGGGGGGAGGGGCGGCATCGGCAAAACCTGCTGTTTGGGGGGCTTGGCTAGTGTCAATGTTGAAACCTCGAAAGCTTGGTTTGTTTCTTCAGTCGAGGTCTCAAGACCCTTTTCTTCATCAAGATGTCTCTGGATTTCATTGCTGGCGAGACCGGAGCTTGCTTACCTACCTAGGTAGACACGCACCGTACTTGGTCCGGATCTGGTGAGACCGACACGCACACATTGATCAGATATCTACCAAGGACTGCTGAAGAACAGATGTTTCGACAAGCTTCCTAGTCGCATAAGAGAGTAAAAGCTTGGTATAGATCGGCAAAACCGCTATAGCCGCTGATGATCTGTCTCATCTTGACAACCTGCCACATCCAAGTGTGTACTCTGTATCAAGAACACAACAAAGAATATTTCCACCAAAAGTTCCCTCAGCTCTATCCCAACAGTCTGGGAAACCCGTGGCGAGCCTCTGGCTTCCCGTCCGTTTGCCGATTCCCGTCCCCAGTACCGTACGACTGGCACGCCCCTTTCCCGAGAACAAAGAACAAAGTAAGACTTCGCCAGCAGAGCGGTACTCGAACACAATTGTTGTACAGAACAATTTTGAGTCGGTGAGTCCGCGCTCATCAATTAGTCTTTGTATGTACCACCTTGTAGCATGCAGCCCAGGCCCCCTGGGCCCCTGGCGCGCCGTTTTGACCCTTCCCCGCCCGCCCGCTGTGCTTTTGCGGGGGGTGCGGGGGCGGTGAACGAGACGGAGTCCCGTCGAGTGAGATGATGGTTTAGATGAGGTCTCAGTTGCGCTGACCAGGTCTCCGGTGCTCGGGCGGGTGAGAGTGAGAGACCAGATGTGAGGATGTGTAAGGTAGGTAGGTACAGGGACAGCATCCCTTCAGATTCATTTTCGATATCTAGAACTCGACATCTCAACAAACAGTGTGGTGAGGGCACATGTGAAAGCCCCCACTTTCGATCAGTTAAATCTCCGACGAGGCGTTGATCGCAGTGCCCACCAAGAAGTTGTGGCAGACATGTCCAGGGACAATGTAGGTACTTTTTGACGTGCCAAGGACAGCTATCACGACGGTAAATCGGTTGAACAAGTACGTGGTGTGGTGGATGTCATCACGCTCACCGTCCAACGTGTGCAGGTTGGACAAAATAGGCGGTGTCGGTGGGGCGTGGAATCTCGGTGCCCTCATCAGATCCATCAGATAACAGAGCATTGGAGCATTGCACACTTCCCCGGCCCTCTTATGACATGGAGCAACAAGTTATGAAGCCATGGCTGTATACGGATGGGCTGTCGCTGTGTTTTGAAACATTTTGCGGACCACAGCTGCCTTCTAGAAGCTCTTTTGCAGATCAGCTATCGGCCCGCTCCACTAACAATGTGCTGCGAGACGGACTTTACAGCGCTACTTCCACTAACCCAACCATCAGCAGCAACAACCACCTAAGAACCTATGGTACCTAATCGACTTTGATACCGCCGTTGTGTCATCACCCACTACTCCTAGATATAAACGCTGTTCCGACGCTCGGTAATCACCAGCCAATCATTCATCGGTCACAGATCACTTGAACATGGCAAGCAATGCGCGGCCCGCCCAGCCCAAGACGATTCTGCGAGGCCACAAGACACCGGTGCAGGTGGCTGCCTTCGTTCGAAACAATGAGCGCCTCTTGACCGGTGATTCCGACGGCTTTGTTGTGGCATGGGACCTGACCATCATGCGTCCAAGGGCCGTTTGGCAAGCTCATACGGCCTCCATACTAGGCATCGCAGGCTGGGGACACGATCGCATCATCACGTAGGCCACCACGATTCGAGTCTTGTAGACAACATGCTCATGATCCTGTAGACACGGAAGAGACAACAGACTGGTGGTCTGGAAGTTGACCGCCGAACACGAAAATGTCCTCAGTACAAGCCTTCCCCTAGACCCATCCTCACAGCCCCGTCCAAAGCCATGGATGCTCCACGTGCTCCAGATCAGCACCATGAACTTTTGTTCATTCTCGTATTGTCCCGCATACCCAGACAACAGTCCGGCCGCAGCAGCAGCAGATGAAATTCTCCTCGCGGTACCCAACACCCTCTCCTCGGAATCTGTAAGTCTGCCCAACTCTTCCCCTCCTCCTTTGCTGACAAGGCCATCCTGGTTTCCTCGACTTGCACAACTTTGAGCTCGAGCTGACACTGATGTAGATCGACATCTTTCACCTCCCCTCCCTCGCTCGAAAGCACACGGTTGGCTTGCCCACCTCCTCGTCACCCGACCAGAAGAATGGCATGGCCATGTCCCTCTCCCTCTTCCACCACCCCACAAGCCATCACCTAACCCTGGTCGCCGGGTACGAACGCGGTCTCGCGGCAGTCTACCAACTCGACCCTAACACGTCAAAATGGGCAGTAACCTACCAATCCAACCCTCACACCCAGCCAATCCTGTCTCTTGACGTCTCCCCAGATGAGTCATTCTTCCTCTCGTCAGGAGCAGACGCCATCATAGCCAAACACCCCATCCCGTCTTGTCCTCCTTCCTCGGGGATAATCCAAGACCCCATCTTGACGATCAACACCCGCCACGCCGGACAACAGTCCCTCCGCATCCGCTCCGACAACCTCATCTTTGCCACCGCAGGCTGGGACTCGATGGTGAGGGTCTACAGCGTCAAGACGATGAAGGAGCTCGCGGTGCTAAAGTGGCACCAGCAGGGGTGTTACGCCGTTGCTTTTGCTGCTGCCAACACCTCTCCAACCACTTCTCCTCCTCAAGAGGAAACCCCCAGATCAGACGACAAGAAGCCCGAGGGGAGTCACAGCAAGGAGGTTACCACGCAAGTCCCCAAGATGTTGGTCGAACAAACACCCAAACAAAAACGCCTCCACCAAGCCAGAACCGCCCGCTGGCTCGCGGCAGGGAGTAAGGATGGGAGGGTGAGCTTGTGGGATGTGTACTAGATATTCGACTACCACATAGCACTGAGCACGTATCATGTCAATAAGTCGGGTCCATCATAGAGCCAGTCAGGCGCGGACCTATTGCAGGATGGATGGGATGTATTCTAGATACCACAACGTATCCTAGCTAAGCAAAACCTCAGCTGTCTCAACGTATCCCTTCCTCCCACAAGAATTGTCTCGGGCAGGTACCTACCCGACTCACCTACCTACCTTTTTCCCCCTCAGCAAAAATGATATGCTCTCGTGCAGCGCCACAAACCTTTGTGCTTCCCACCATCGTGTTGAAGGGGCTCCCTCCCTCCCACCGCTTCCCGAGTGCCAGGTTATCGTCTCTTTCCCCTCCCCTCCCTCTTTCCCTCCCCCGGTCCAAATCTGAGACTCAGTTCGCTATCCGACACACTGCTTGTATGCAACGCATGTAGAGACAAAAAAGGTTAAATAGGTAGTTGATGTCTGGTGTTTGTGGCACGTTGTGCAGAACATACAGCCAGCCCGTGCTGCTCTGTGTTTTGGGGGGCGGCTGTTTGGCTTCCTTGTCACCCGTTGCTGTTGTCGTCATGCTCTGAATGGGTACCTTGCTCCAAGAAATCGTCACAACACATTCCCACTCTCTTTGACGTATGTGTGTCAAGAGCAGCTCCACTGTCACCACGCTATGTAGGTATGTCACCGTCTTCAACAGGCCTCAAAACAAGTCACACAACCATGCTGCCGCTGCTATACATCAACCGTACCTGTCACAAGGACCCTACAGACATCATCAGGGCCTCAAAAGATGCCTAGGTAGTGTTGACACGTCTTGATTGCGATTAGCTGGCCCAAAGATCCACCTTTTATGTCACACACAACCCCGCCCCCCCCCCTCTCCCGCAAAAAAAAAAATAAATAAAAAGAATAAAAAAATAAAAGAAATCCTCGACGCCCTATCAAGCTCCTCTAAATGCCCAGCAACCGTGACCTCTTCTAAACGCCCACACCAACCCATCTCAAACGCCCATTAAACCCATCCCGACGTCCACCAAGCTAGGTAACCTAAGCCCTACCAACAACCTCCACAACCTCCCCATCCGCCAACCTCCCCGTCTCAAGCATCCACCCCTCCCCCTCCACCTCCACAGGCGGCACCACAATCCCAAACCTCTCATACGGAAAATCAACCAGCGTACCCCTATACTCAGCCCACCCATCATCAACCTCCCCAAGCTGGTGCGTGTCCACTTCGCCCGCCTCGTACGTCCGTCCAGCCAGAACCTCCTTCTCCCGCCCCTCATACTCCTTCTTCAGCATCGGGTGAGGCGCCCAGATAACCCGCATCCCCGCCCGGCGACCAGCCTCAACCCCCGGAACGCTGTCCTCAAAGACAAGACACTCCTCGGGGGTAATCGGCTTCTCCCCCTCGGGAAGCGAGTCATTGATCGTCTTGAGGGCAAGCAAATAAATATCAGGAAGCGGCTTGCCCCGGCCGGGGGCAATCCGCTCGTCGTCGCCCAGGACGCGACGGTGGGTTTCAAAGACGCTGAACAGCTCCGTTAGGTGCGACGTCTTCAAGATAAAGTTTGACTTGTGGGACGACGTGGCGAGGGCGATGTGGACGCGGTGGGGGGTGGGCGCCGTCTCGCCAGCCCTGGACTCCTTGTTCTTCTCCATGTCCCAGTAGCGGGTGCGAGCGAGGTCACTGAGAAGTGTAGGGATGCCGGGGAGGGGCTGGGTGCCGGGGAAGTGCTGGGCTTGGAGCTCATAGTACTGTTTGTGGTACCTGCGTCGAAAAAAAAGTCGGTGTCAGAACGGACCGTCAGGAAAGGATACATCACTCACTCCTCGGGGGTGATCGGCAGCTGGGCCCAGTCGTGAAGCAGCTTGTTGGCCTGGGGACCGGGGCGGCCTTGCAGCTTGGCCTTGATGCTCCAGGGCAGCTTGGGACGCCCGTACTTTTCGAGGATCAGGTTGATGCAGAGCGTGTAGAGGTCCTCGGTGTCGAGCAGCAGACCATCCATGTCAAAGAGACAGGCCCGGACGGGGGGGAAGCTGTTGTTGGAGGGAATCGTTGTTAGTCTCGCCACGAGGCTGGACCCGGCCGGAATCACACAACATAGGGGTTCAGGGGACCTACTCGGTTCTGGGAGTCATTGTGAAGGCCGTGGCGTGCTGTGAACTGGGACGACCGTGGGCTCGTATCTGCTGGATGGACTAGAAAGAAAAAAAAGACAGGAGGAGGCTCTGGGGGAAAGAAAAGGGCTCGTATTATAGATAGATGGCTACCCTTGCCTAGGTAGGCGTAGGATCGATCGGGTCCAATCAGGCACGTGGGTTAGAGTAGCTGACAAGATGTAGTCACAGAGAAGCCAACTGCTCTTTGAGGTTGGAGATAAGACGGCGGACCTGCCCTCTTGTTGGATAACTTGTAGGGATCAGAAGGAGAAGGGAGCGCAACAATCGGATCCGAAGCAACGAAACAAAAAAAAAAAAAGGCAGGAACTAGATGTCACGAATTGGAGTAGCTACCCCTTGTCATGCGGGGTACCCCCCCAGCAAACTGATGCTCTTCCAGTGCTCCTCCCGGCGGACCTGTGACGCCACCAAGACAGGGGAGACATGTAGATACCCCGGCCGGCCCAGCCAGCAGAGAGCCGTCACGACTTTTTCCGAAGCTCTCGTTCGTCGAGAGCATCCGAGAGAGGAGCTCTCTGTAATGCTCTCACACACTCTCAAACTCTTGTCCGGCGGAATATTTCGGGCCGTTTAGGTACCCCTTGCGATGGGCTGGGTTGGCAGCCGAGGAAGACGCGAGATAAGGGGGGGAACTTGTGGGAGTGTGGAAGGTGTGATGAGATTGTGGAATGTTCAGACAGACAGAATGAGAAAAAAGCCGTGTGTTTGCTTGTTTGCTCCCCTCATCAGGGGTCCGTCCCATCTCGAGCGGACACCAAGCGGCAGGAAGCCGTTGCCGTCTCCACAAAGCCTCAAAAAAAACCCAAAAAAAAATGGCCTTGGATCAACGTGAATCTGCCAAGACCCCGCCATCGGGCTGAGGTCTACAGTAGCGCCTCAAGAAAAAAGTGTCCGCTCCATGCCCAAAGCCCCAACAGCGTAACAACACCACGTTTCCAGCTCCGCCCCTTTCCCCTTTTTTCTCTCCTGTGAGCAGCCTCCTTATCTCGCATATCGGACGGACGGTTTGCTGCCAAAGACGATGGCTGCCCAAGATGAGGAGCCCCGGATCGCGGGAGCCGATGACGACATGGAGCAGCAGCGGCATGAAGAAAGGTTCCCCCCTGAAGAGGAAGCTGTAAGTCACTGTGGCCCTCATTTCCGTTACCATGCTCAACTCAGCTCTGACGGGACGTTTGTTGCTTTTCAAGTCCATGGTAGCGGACTCCAACGCGCACAAGACCGAGGCCAACTCTCTCTTTGGATCGGGCAAGTACGACATTGCCATCAACAAGTACGATGAGGCTCTTGCCGTCCTTCCCAACTATCTGGACTATGAGCTGGCCGTCTTACGATCCAACATTGCTGCCTGCCACCTGAAGCTCGAAGAATGGAAGGAGGCCGTCACAAACGCAACAGCCGCCCTGGACTCTCTTGACAAGCTCGAGGGCAACGGCTCGTCGAAGAAGCAGGACCCCACCCCACCCGCGGCAGAAGACGAGGTGGAGGGTGAGATTGTCAGCTCTGGTGCCAAAGCAGCCGGTCCGGCACTGGGTGATGACGCCCAGCGCAAGCGTCCGGATGATATCTCGAGAATCCGCGCCAAAGCTCTCATGCGTCGTGCTCGGGCCCGGAGTGAGCTGGGCGGGTGGTCCAACCTGGAAGGCGCAATCGAAGACTACAAGCGGCTGTCGACCTTGCCTGCCTACGACACGCTGATGAGCGCGACGGATAAGAAGATTGTCAGCACGCAACTCCGCGCCCTGCCGGCTCGTGCAAAGGCTGCGCAGGAGAAGGAGACGGCTGAGATGTGGGCCAAGCTCAAGGACCTGGGCAATGGCATCTTGAAGCCGTTTGGCCTCAGCACTGACAGCTTCAAGATGGTCAAGGACGAGAAGACGGGCGCATACAGCATGAACTTTGCTGGGGGGTCGGGCGGCAAGTGAGGGTGAAGCTGTAGCACGCAGAGATAATGTTTATTCAGTCTAGCTCTTGAGACATCCATGGGTCTTTGCATGTTGGGTGGTGGTGCCTGAATCCACCCACGAGCAGGTGCGGCTGGAACCTCGGAGAGTATGGCTAGGTACCCAGACGTCCATGGCAGCTTCTGCTAACCTGCCGCATAGGTGTTCGGTGCCTTCCTGGACAGCTCACTTCAAGGAGGGACATTGATCGTCTGCCCAAGAATCCAAACTCTTCCCAACTTTTGTCATCAAAGCTCTTGTTCATTCCCATTCACTCTCCAAACAACTCTCCAGTGCAGTCTCTATCTTACAGCACAGTCTCTATCTCAGTCACCCCAGACATTAATCAAAAATGGAGTCAAGAGCGCACCATCTCCATTACCTCCAGCGCTACGTGGATGTCGACCACTGGCGCCCATACATCACCACCAGATACCCCGAGGAGATCCAATCCGGGGATGCCCGCGAATTTGAATACGAAATATTGGGTCAGGACGCCGGCCCGCGACCCATCCCAGCCTTCCCCGTTGGCAACCTTGACGAGCTCGACATGCCCCGGAAACTCATCATTTTCTAGGTGAGAAACGGCTTCCGCATTCCGGCGTGGATACCCGCTGCCAACCCCGAACTCCAACCCGGCGTCGTCACCGACGACCACATCCGAATGGCCTGCATCATCCTCATCCAGATGGCGCCCGACCTGGCGAGGGAAATCCCCAGACGCTATCTCGAGATCCAGTCCATACTCGACAGGGGAATAGAAAGCAGCAGGAGAAGGGTCCTCACGGAGGAACGTGTCGCCGAGTATGCCCCGCAGGATTGGACCGCGTCCCCCGACGAGGGTGGGCTCAAGATGGAGGAAGAGCACTTGCCGGATGTGTACATGAGGATTCTGAGGACGTTTGAGGCTGCGGACGGCAAGGATGGGCCGTTTGGGTTGTTTGCGGATTTGTATCCCGGTGTTCGCGAGCATGACATTATTCCGGCTCCGAAGTGGCCTCGTTGTCTGGGACATTACATTTTTGACCGGGTGGCGCAGCGGAAGGTGACGGATCAGAGGCGTGACGCGTGGGCTGCCGGGAAGTTTGAGAAGAGTCGTGCTGCGATTGCTGCCGAGAAGGCTGCCACTGAGGCGGAGGCTGCCGCGCAGCAGCAGCAGCTGGAGCAGCAGCAGCAGCAACAGCAACAGCAACAGCAACAGCAGCAGCAGAAACCCCAGAGAAAGAGAGACAAAATTATTAGTATGATGCAATATGGCGCCCCGAAAGCACCTCTACCATGATTAGATGCCGAGTGGGAGGAGTTGTTTTACTCGGAAGCGATACATGTATCTTTCTTGTCACAGCGGAATGTTTAGGTGGGAGAGAATTTAGGATCGGGCTAGGGGAGAATGGAACATGTTTTGGTTGACGCTCTTTTTCTGATTTGAGTCTCTTGGGCTTGGTGTGTATGGATACCTTACCTACCATCTTGAAACCGCTCTGCTTATGAGGCATCTCGGAATACCTTTAGACTCTATAGAAACCTTTGTTTGAGCGCCGTTACATCAGGCAACAGTCTTTAATTTTCTCTTTCTTTTTTTTTCGGGGCTTTATGCGTGTTTTTTTTTAAAAAAAAAAAGAGGTGTCCGTTACCAACGTCTGAGAGGTGGTGTTGATGCTGAGCAAAGGATTCAGATTCCGACGTCGAGAATTGGAACACATGCTTAGAAACATGCCCTGAAGGCGAGTCGGACTTGTCGGGCTGCTTCACACATGTTCAAAGGACTGGCTATATTAAACAGCAACACAAATAAAACCCAATAGGAGATGTATTGTCTGTACAAAGTACAGTAAAGAGCAGTGATGATCTGACAAGAGAAACCCCCTTCCCACCCCAAAACTCCAATACTATTTCCTGCTTGTTGCTGCTGTCGTTGTAGAGTTAGATACAATCTTTCTTTGTTGGACCACGCTTTTTCTGCAAGATATGACAAGACACCAAGGGAGAGAGCGAGCAGACAAATCATATCCATCCATCATCAACAAACTAAAAAGCAGAAAAACAAAACAATCCCCCCCTGCCTACCTACCCATGTGTTATTTCCCTTTCATATATCCCATCCCATTCCATCCATTTCATACAAAAGAGAGAGAGATCGATCAGTCATGTCTTGACTCCAGGGCTTTTTAAACCCTCCCATAAACATTCACCACCCCATCCCCCCAAATCCCCACAACCGACATGAAGAACCCCAGTCCCAAGACAGACACCTGGACAACCTGCTTCTTGAGCCACCCCTCCACCTTGGCCCTCACCTCCTCCCCGTTCGCCTCCTCCCCAACCTCCAACACCTCATCCTCCTCGCTCTCTTCCTCTTGCTCTTCACCAAGGACCTCGTAGCTGGCTTCCATTCTCGCGCGGGCAGAGGCAGAGGGCTTCTTCTTCTTTTGCTGGGGGAAGGACTTCTTGCTGCCGGCAGTGGTGGCGGGGGAAGAAGGTCCGAGGGAGATGTAAGGAGCGACCAAATCCGTCACGACGAGCTGGGAGCCGAGGATGAGGGCCGAGGTGTAGAGGAGGTAGGGGTGGCGGAGGGGTTTGGGGGAGAGATAGTATGCGAGGAGGAAGGCGGTTCCGGAGAGGCCGGAGAGGGATCGGAGTTGTTTGGTCGAGGTTGTGGTGAGGGAGTCAAAGGCGCGGAGGGCTGTGGTGGCGGAGGGGAGGTTGAGGAGGGAGGGGATGGTGAGGGTTGTTAGGGTGTAGGAGAGGCCCTGGTTAGTGAGCGTCATGTTAGTTGCTGTTCAAGGTGAAGGCATCATGCGATGCCATGTGGAAAGCAACACATACCGTCAACAACCCCAACGACACCGTCCCCACAAACTTGAGCGCCGAGACGCCCCTCGTTGCCATGATGTTACGAGTGTGTGCTTAATCTCTTGATCAATCCAGTCTCACTTCCTTATCAAAACGCGCGGATGGCCGTCGAAGGTTCGAAAGGTGTCACCAAGTTTGCCTGACGCAAAGTCGTGGTCGTAAGAAGCCAGTGTTGCCGAGCTCACGGTTAAAGCTTAAGGTCTTGCCTATTGCGTGGTTGGACAGCCCGCCCGCCCCGCCGAAAGGAGGGGATGGGGGGCTGGATCTTCTTGGTCTGGCCCCGCTGCAACTCACAGCGGCCCATTTCCACTTTTGCGTCATCGCTCGATCAGGTTAACAAGGGGTAGCTGATAGAACACCCTAACCCTGATTCAAGATGGAAGACCACAGAAGAAGACATCCTGCAGATATCCACCCCCCGATGCAACTTGTTTCCCAATATCCGCCACCCCACCAACATCCACTATCGTGAAGGCGCGATGGCAGAGTGGTCTAATGCGTGAGACTCGAAATCTCATCTCTTCGGAGGCGTCGGTTCAAATCCGGCTCGCGTCGATAGGATAAATTTACTTTTACAGGTTTTTTTTTTTTAAAGACTCTTCTTGGCCAACATAGCACAACGTTGTCAAGGGCGGATGCTTTATTTCCGGTTTAGCTGCTTCATGTTTGTCTTGCAAGCCAGCTATGGTCAAATATCACAGCTTCACAGACCTCTCACACATGCACCCATTAACAGATATACTCACTGTGTTTTGACCGCAACTGATAGTCTGATACAACTACTGCCACGCATCATTAATTCGCTTGTTCACTCCGCTACATGCCACTCCCGATCATCACAACTTTCCTCCCCCCTTCATCCTCCTCTCATCTACTCCCTCCCATCAAACACACCCTCATCACCCTCCCACTCACAACCAGACCCCTAGTCAACATTCAACCTCCACAACCCATCCCCCAAAAAGTGCGCATCCTCCATCACCGGCCCCTTCCCCTTCTCCTTGATCTCCCTCGTCCCCATAACCAGCACCCCCACCGCCGCCGCCTCCTCCTTCCCCTCAGCCATAACCACAACCGGCTCCCCCTTCTCCAACTCCCTACTCCACCTCCCCTCCCCATCAGCCCCCTCATTCGGCGCCCCCTCCCCAAGCGTCTCCCTCCCCTCCCCAAGCGTCTCCCTCCCCTCCCTCGCATCCGGCTCCGGCAGCCTCCCGCCCGCAGAAGTCAACCCCGGCGCCATGAGCGTCGCGCCCGACAAGACAAACCGGATAGCACCACGGTCTATCCTCACGGTGGGGAAGCACTGCGGGAACCGGTGCACGAGCTTGAGGTGGGGGAGGAGGACGTCGCTGTCGTGCTGGAAGAACAGGGGGTTTCCGTCGCAGACGTAGAGGGATACCCGGTCGGGGAGCTTCATCTGCTCGAGGGAGGACTTTTTGGGCATGATCTCTTCGATGAAGGGGTTGAGGAGGGGGTAGGTCTGCAGGAGCGAGGTCCGGAGGGAGCGCTGGATGGAGGATTTGAGTTTTTGTTTTGGGGAGGCGGTGAGGCTTTACAACAGAGGGTTAGTTTCCATATAGCTGGAGGGAGAAGGGGACCGTACTCTTTCTTGAAAGGCATCTTGTTTGTTGAGGTTGAGAGAGCTGCGCGGCTCTCTTGCGGTGAACTTTGTGGTGGTTGGTTTGGATCAAGTGAAGGGAAGTGGTATGGAGCTGATTTTGAAAATCTCGTCTTCTTATAGCTGTGACTTCGTCTCGTTGTTGTAGCGCAAAATATCTGATGATGCTACTCAAAATGCCAGGAGTTGCCTGTTGCTCGGAGGTTGCCCCGCGATGCGGAATTGAATGGAGGGGTAAATCAGAACAATAGCCCCACTTTCAACGTTCCTGGGCCACTGCCAAGGTTGCGATAAGGGGGGGCGATAAGCCTACGAGAGCACCACTGTCGTCACCCGCCCCTTGAGCAGCGATGGACGGCACTTGAGAGCATCAACAAAGACGTAGGCATAGTGGTGAGAATAGGATTCAGTCATTAAGGTAGGCTATAGCTTCAAACCCGCCCAAAGACATCAACCAGCAGGTATAAGAGCGTAGGTCTAGATGATATCCGCTTCCGGCCCAGTTCAACCCCGCAATCTAGCTCCCCTCCAGTTCCTTAACCGTGAGAAACGTGCGAAACAGTCCCGTCTTCCTGGACGTGTACATTCAGCCTGTTGGGGTTGAAGTCCTTGGTAACCATCGAGCCTGGCTCGATAACTCTGGTGGATTCAGGGAGGTCCTTCTTGCAGAAGCACTGTTGACAACCATCCGTCAGCATGCTGTTCATTCTTAAGAGGGCGGTTGAAAGGGACATACAGTCTCTGAGCTTGGCTCGTTCTCTGATAGCGTCTTGCCGACAAGCTTGTTCATCCACTCCTGGGTCTTGTCCTCGGGCATGTTGTCGGCTGTTACTCCTGGGACGACGAGAGGCATCTTGGTGGTGGTTCTAGGTTGGTGTTTTGAGCGATTCGTGTAGTTATTCTTGGAGCGTGCGATGTTCTGGTGTATTGGTATGTTGATCTGTTTGATGTAGATAGGTCTGGGGATCAGGAGGTCAAGATGGGATTTAAGTACGTGGTGGTTGTGCAGGAGCGCTCAAAGGGTCCGATGACGTAGTATTGGCTCTGCCGGCTAGTTGCGCGGCGGGTGAACAAAACGGTGGGACTCAGCCACATCGTGAGCATAACTTTATACCAATTAGCAAACAATTGCACAGGTGAGCATAAAGCATGTGAAGTGTTCCAGCATCTGAAGAAGAAATCCAAAATACAGGAGAGGTGAGTAAAAACTGCAAAAGGAATGGTTTTGATTTCGTCCAGGCTCGAACTGGAGACCTTCAGTGTGTTAGACTGACGTGATAACCAACTACACCACGAAACCATAATATGGTTGATTGGTGGTTTCATCAGTGCTAGCCCTTATTCCACGAGCTCTGCCAGCTCTGGAACATGATGTTGCTGGGTGGCATTGCAGGTGGACTCAGGGGTAAAAAGGGGCGCCGGAAGCACAGCATGGTTGCTGCTATCACAGACGAACAGCAAGCACATTATATAAAGATTTCAAGTTTTCACCTGCCATTTTTCTCTCGTAGCTCACCTTGTTTTAAGTTTTTCATGTGTCACAATCGGTGTATTTTGCTAAGGGCTTAAGGTTTTTGAGGCATTCAAGCCATTAACTGGACATTGCAAAGATGAAAGCATTGTCTTTAGGGCCCCAAGTCTGCTTTTGAGATCCAGGAACGAGTACGTCTCATGTATTAGGCTACTGTGATCCATATCTGAAAGTATTCACCGATTTCGATAAAGGTAGGTCATATGTCAGTTTTGGATCTGAACTTGAAATGGCAGAGTCGGCAAGTCTAACAGTCTTGTCCGGGCTTCCACGTTTCTTTAATGGTTTCCGACTTCCTGCGGGGAAGACACCAGGCTAGTTTAGGATTCGCCCAGCACAAACAGATCTTGGTACCGACGGGATCTAATAACAACATCCATGGTTCGTTCGGGAGGCAATATTTTTGTGGGAATACTCGGACAACTGGTTCCTTAGCTCCTGGTATAAGTGCGCTTCCATGGACTCTGTACTGAGGGAACTTGGAGAAGCTGTGATTATTCTGTAACAAGCTGAAACATAAATGTGCTCTTTAGTACAGTGTGCCTGGGCCAATATGTCTTTCTTGGAGTTTCCTATTGACAACTCTTTACGCAGTAGGGAGCAAAAGAAAAAACACAGCTGCAAGTACCTGGCTGAAGCCACGAACACCTCAAAGCTCTAAACCTCCATACAAATTCCCTCTGAAATCTTTGATGGCGTATGGCTGTAGAGTGGCTTCGACTGGACTCTGCAGTTTTACTTACCCATCGCATAGTGTAAAACCACCATGATAGTCCATACGGGTCCTATCAATGCCTCTTCCCTGTGAGAATACACAAAGAGGCCGTCTCGGCATACTATCTCTAAATTGACCATGGTGGCGGACTTCGGAGTCGCCGCCCTCTCAAAAGATTTTGACAGCTGGTATACGTGTCATCGACCCGGATCCAAAATTTGTGCCCTTTTTGACTTTACCTTGGCGGCATTGCAAGCCGGAAGAGGTTGATAATGGGCTGGTCGTGGATATAAAGTGCAGGCGATAAGGCCTCAAATCCATCACGAGCTCAAGCCACAAGGATCGCATTGCTGCCGAGCCCAGCAAACGCACTCCGGGCGCCTGCCTCAAGCCAGATCTCCACGGCACTCCGCAACCTTCCCCAACCTTCCGCCTGAAAGCAACCACCTGTTCCGCAACGTCTCATTGGAAGATGTGCTCCCAGTGCCCGGAGGGGCATAGAAAGAACAGCGATGCAGCTGGCCTTGGAGCAGATCTCTCTCTCTCTCTCTCTCTCTCTCTCTCTTCGCCATTTCACCATCCTAGGATCAAGCCATACTGGGCAGCCATATTTTTTCGTGGTCTTTAGGTCATCTGTTCAGCAATCAGCTTATCTCCCCACTCGTATACCTACGTGGCCCCTCCACCCCGAGCGTTTGGTTCGGCGTGGTGATCTGCGGGGAGCAACAAGCCAGTAAGCCCGTCCAATCTCCAGTCGCTTTCAATGTCCTCCCATGGCCTTTTTCGCTTGCCTGTTGAACTTCAGGCTGTGGGAGCCCTTGATCAGCCACAAATCCTGTTTGTTAACTGGAGCAGCCTAACTCTTAATTGTCACCAGGCAACCCATCTCCAACATAGCGTCTGCCAACCTAAGGTAGAACGATTCAGCCACATCGCCCTTTCCCTCAAGAGCTGGCTGCTTGGTTATCCCCATCAGCTAGATCATCCATAGTCAAGCGGCATCAAAATCGGTAGTCACCGCGAAAAAAAAAAAAGCTACGATGCCCAAAGGAGCGACGCAGCATCACTGGCATGTGGTTTCTCTCACCTCGAGTCAAGTCAGCATCCAATGGCACCATTACTGACATTCTAGGTACCTCCAACCAGCCCGGTGTGCTTCCACATTGCAAAGCCCCGTTGCTATGCGCGGAAACACCTCGTGCAATGCGAAACTCACACCGTGTTCCACTCATCGAGGTCTCAATGGTAAGTCGTGAGTTCACTCCAATCACACCTTTCCTTCTCGACCGGTATCGAGTCGAATGGACTAGGCCTAGGCTCCAGCATGTGTCGAGCGGCCCGGGAAACCCACACTGGATCTACCGCCAGCGGTCCGGCCAGTTGGAGGGAGGACCAGGTCCGGATCGGTCGGGTTGTCCATATCTCCCACGGTACTCTGGGGACCTGGCGCCACATCAGATGTGGTATCAACACCCCAACACGACCCAACAGTGGCCAACTTTTCTCTTTGGACACTGGTTCGAACCCGAGAGGTTGACACCGTCCAACAAGGTCCGGGGCCACCGAGGTGCATCTGTGGTTGGCGGGATGGGAAGACGGCCTCTGATGGTCCTTCTGAGTCTGAGGTCTCTGGTTCCCTTCATCGTCCAGCATGCATCTAGTCTGGTTGCCATCGTCATCGCTTCTTTCGGCACAGCTTCTCGGAATCGCGGGATCTTTGGCCCAAGCTGTCTTGATAACTGTGGACAACCTGCTGACTGTTCACCAGCGTCCAATGCCACGATGATGAGCTCCGTGCCGAAAGAGTGCAAAGATCTCAAAGGGCGCAAAGCGCCGACGCCGGCGACAAAAGAACCCGGAAGAAAAAGGGCCAGAAGAGGCGAGAAAGTAGTCCCGACTTTGACTCCAAGAGTGAAAAGATCGACACCAAGAGCACCAAGAAGCGCAAACGTTAATCTCCCCCAAACGTGGCTGTCTGGTGTATCCTGCGGTGGCATCCAGACTTGTCAATCCGGGAGGGGTTGCCTCCATGCGTGAGGTCAGAGACTCGATGTCTTTCAGCAAAACATCACTCCCTTTGCTGGCGACGAGGGGTGGGGAATCATGGAGAATGTCAACTTGATCTTTGCATGGTTCTGGTTGGCGGCATTTCTGGGCGGGCGTTTTGTTGGAGTTGTCATTGCATCTTTCTGATATGGGGCAAGGAGGGCAAAGCGAACAGCGATTGATAGGAATTGGTGAATCAGCCATAGTATAATAACTTGGCTTTTCTCTTCTGGCAACTTGTCTCTTGAGAGGCGTCTCTCTTCGACCAACATTCTGACCCCCCTCCGTGGATCGTCACCTCGCCGCTGTTGGGTCAAACTTTCGACGTGTTGGGCAACTCAAAATGCATGGGCAAATGCAACACTGGCCGCCAGAGGATCAGCCCAAAAGAAGCGAGTGCGGTTGACCACATTATTCGGCCTGAGAGAAAATAGAAGTCGACAGGAAGCTCTCACGCTCTTTCGTGAATCGAAGGTCCCAATGCCAACAACACCTTGGCGGACGTTGAGCCATTGTTTCATCAAGCCGCCGTTGAGATCCAAACTAGGGTTAGGGGATACTACACTAATTCCGGCAGCCGCTATCCCAAAACAGCAACCTTTGGTTCTCGGGCTTTTGAACTGCTCACCTCAGTCCTTTCCAGCCCTGTTCAGCCCCCTTGAAGAAGATCTCGGTTTTGCTCGTTATATTCGTAATACTCGGATCCCAAGGCTATTCGCCCAGCAGATCTACAAAAGAACGCTATCCCCAATTTTTGATGTTCGCTCAGCCCGATCCCGTGTGTGGGGCAAGGCTCATTTTCCCACACCCAACAGGAACCGCAAAAGGTCCAACCACGGGCTGGCGGATGCTGCCGACAGAGCTCTGGCCAGGACCCTGAGAAATTTTGCCCCAAAACTCGGTCTGGAGCTTGGCTGGGGGTTTACGGCGAGGACATGACTCTAGACCATTTCCTTACCTCTCCAAGTAGATGTCTACCGAGTATAGACTCTCTCCGTCTTCAAGAGACAGAGGCACAAACATTGAAACAGTGACAGCCTGCAGCAACCCACATCCTCATCTTCAACCTGCAATCCCATCGCAACCCAAGCCCAAAGCAGGGGGTTCCCTGGTCCGCGATGTTTCTCCTTCCATTGGCCACACTTCCTGTCCAACGTGGACCCTCAGCCCACACCGCCAAGCCATTCCTCGTCTCAATTGGGGAAAGGACCCCTGCTCCCTTGGACTGCCATCGTGAAGCGCAGCCTCAGAAGCTGCATGTCGGCTCCCGGGGCTGGGTCAGTCTGGGCTGCCCCCCTTTCCCCCCCCCCCTAGCCCTTCTTCTTCTTCTTCTCCTTTTCGGCTTGGCTCGACTGGGGAGAGAGAAGAAGAGAGGTTCCCTTCAATTAAATCTCAGCCGCTCCCTATTTTACCCCTAAGTTTTCCTGGCCGCGACCTAAAACACCATCGTCGCCTGTATACAACTTTTGTTGCCCTCCAGAAGGGATAACATACATCCTCCCATTCCCATTTTTTACTTTTGCGAGGGGTTATTTGTTCGTTACACGGCGAATTTTAGTAATTACACGACGTGTTTGCCGATCGATCTCGCACAGCTCGCACCGACAAGCGACGTATTGCTCGCGTTCGAACCGTACATGACATTTCTGCAACCTTTCGCCGATCACTCAGGATAAAAACACCTTGCTCGAGCGTCAAGACACCACGACCTTTCAAAAAAAGAGCCACGCGACAGTTCCTTCCCCCGCTGAAGAAACCGTGACAATTGGAAGACACCACGAGAAAAAAAAACACCGCTTTTCCCAAACCCATCGAGAACCACAACACCATGAAAATGCGCCTCCTCGCCCTCCTGGCCTCAGCAAGCCTAACAACCGCCCTCGTCCCCCCCGCCATCCATAACCCCGAACCCATGGCTGGTATCAACCTCCCCCGCGAAGCCCTCCCCCTCATAACCTCCGCCCCAAACCCCCTTTCCCCCCTCTCACCCCGTCAAGACCGCCCCGAGTCCCCCTCCCCCTGCTTCACAGAAGTAGTCACAACCACAACCTCCTGCGTCGCGATCGGCGAGTGCACCTCGGGCCCACACACCAGTCTGGTCTGCCACGCAGACTACATCTGCCGGTCCGACTCCCAAGGCAACCCCTCCTGCATGTACCGGGAGAACTCCCTCGGCGTAGAAGG